ATATATATATATATATATATATATAGAGAGAGAGAGAGAGAGAGAGAGATAGTTACCAAGATGATACCCTTTACGCTAACTCTATCAATAGGAATGCCAGCCGAGTTTTCTTTCTGAATTGCAAGCAAAATGTCCAAAAAATCCTCTTGGTTATCATCTCCACTCCTTGAACTGTGGTTCATATGCTCTTGAACCACTGTATCTATAAAGTCATCCAACTGCTTAGCCACCTTGTCTAACTTGGCTCCCAAACCATTGACATGGCTCAACCAAGAAAGCCATGGGACATAGTCCCCAATATTAACAGTTCCCAGTAAGTCACCGAACTCCCCTAAAATCTCCTTAAACATCCTCCCACTTTCCCCGCCTTCTCCTTCACTGTACTTCCTCCCTAGAGCCACTCTACATACTACATCATTAGTAAGCCTCACAAACATTTCACTTAGATTCAAAACAGATGATGATGAGCCCTTTATGTTTCTGATCATGGATTTGGTTTCCTCTTCCCTCACAGAACGAAAAGACCGAACCCTTCTGTTGCTCAAAAGATTTAAAACACATATACTTCTCACCTGCCTCCAATACTCACCATACGGCGCGCTTGCGACATCTTTGTAGTTGTAGAGAAGCTTCTCAAAGATGGTGGACTTGGGTCGATCAGAAAACGCGAGGTCATGAGTTTTCAAGATCTCCCGGGCTGCCTCAGCTGAAGAGACAACAAGCACCGGGACACTTCCAAAGTGGAGAAGCATGAGAGGGCCATGGCGTTGGGACAAGGCTTGAAGTGTGCGATGAGGGTACGAGCCTATCTGGTGAAGGTTTCCAATGATAGGTAGCTTTGGCGGAGAAGGTGGTTGTGTTGATTTTTGGGTGGTGGTTTTAGTCGAAGAGTACCATGTGTATAGGAGGACAAGGAAAATGGCCAGCAGTGTGAAGGCCAAAGGTTGCAAAAAGGAGGAGCTTTCATTTAGCTCTTGCAACAATTGCAAGGGATTTAGCATCTTCAGAGTTGGTCCTATTAAACGAATGTGTTCTGTGTGTTTAAATAAAGGCAAAGATCATCCCAGGACTATCCAATGTATTTAAAGGTTGAAACCACCGCCTCACAAACTTGTATGTGAGCATTCTGTTGGTCCATTTGTTATCTTGTTATCTTCTTCTTCTTCTAGGGATGAGTTAGTCCACACGAGTTCATCCACCTGGGCAGAAGACAACAAAAAAATTTAGATGCTTTTGGAAAGCATAGAGTGTTTGGCTTTTGATCGTGCCTCATTTAAGTTTCTATCTGGTACATAGGAAAATTCAAGGTAGAAATTTGTTTTCGTGTAGATCCAAAAGACTTTAAAATCAAAATCCAATCTAACATCCCAGTTTAATGGAAAATACATCTTATCTAAGGATGACAGTCTTATAATTTATTTATTTATTTTTTATTATCAAGGAACAATATAAAGGATCATTTTATATCTCAGGCTAAGCATGACTCAGACTTTCATGATCTTATGCTTCCTTTGGGCTTCTGTTATGAAACTTTGAGGTGACACTGCAGAAAGGCCTTCACAATCATAAAATGGGAAAGCAGGAATTCTCAGAAAACCTTGGCGCTGCCATAGCTACAAGAGGAGCTTTTCTGTGGATGACAAGGCCAGTACATTCTGTCATGCTTATATCCTCAGCTCTGGCTCCACCAGGCAATGTCCAGTCAAACTTGTGCACAAGATTTGCAAACACAATCTCATTAGTGATCATGGCAAACAAGGATCCTGGACAGCCCCTTCTTCCAGCTCCAAATGGGATTAATTGGAAGTCATGCCCTTTGAAATCTACAGAAGAGTTCAAAAACCTCTCTGGCTTAAACTCCTTTGCATCATCCCACATTGAGGGGTCTCTTCCAATTGTCCAAGCATTGATCAGGACCATGGTTCTTGCTGCTATGTCATAGCCCTTTATTTTAGCCTCTTGAGTTGATTCGCAAGGAACCAGTAACGGTATTGGAGGATACAACCGAAGTGTTTCTTTGATCACTGCTTTTAAGTAAGGAAATTTATCTAAATCGCCCTCGGTTATGTCTGCTTTGCCATTAGCAATTCCCATCATCTCATCTTGCAGTTTTTTCAAGACTATCGGATGCCTTAAGAGTTCGGTCATTGCCCACTCTAGAACTGTGTAGCTAGTATCAGTTCCACCACCAAAAATATCCTGCATAAACCAAGAAAGATCTTAGTTCACCCCCAAAAGCAATTAGCAACGGATGGAGAAGTATAAGATTTTAATATTCTGATGTAGGTATCTTAGGCACATAAAGCTATTGAGCTTTCTTGCTTAAGTTGTGGAGACAGAGAAGAGACTTACCAAAATGATACCTTTGATGCTATCCCTATCAATGGAAGAGCCAGTCTTGTTTTGCTTTTGAATTTCAAGCAGAAGATGCACAAGATCCTTCCCATCTTCACCTTCAACACTCATATTATCACCACAGCTCTCTCCTTTCATGTTAAGAGTACACATATGCTCATCAACTACAGAATCCAGAAACTCATCAAACTCCTTAGCAACTTTCTCCACTCTTGCATCTAAACCATTAATTTGACTAACCCAACCAAGCCATGGAATAAAATCCCCTACATAAAAACCACCCAACAAGATCATAAACTCCACAAGCAACTTCTTAAATTTCCTTGCACCTTCATCTCCACTATACTTTTTCCCAAAAGCCACCCTACAAATCACATCATTAGTTAGTGAAGCAAACAACTCACTTAAATTCACAGGCAATGACAACAGAGAAGACTGTTTCACTTTCTCAGTCAGCAAGGCTAGTTCTTCTTCTCTTACTGCTCGAAAAGACTGAACCCTTTTGTTACTTAAAAGTTGGAGCACGCAGATGCTTCTCATTTGCCTCCAATACTCACCATAAGGAGCTGAGGACACACTCTTAGCTTCATACATAAGTTTATCTGCAATGGTAGATCTGGGTCTGTTAGAGAAGATGATATCATTTGTTTTCATGATCTCACGAGCAGCGTCTGCAGAAGAAACTACAAGCACTGGTTGCATACCAAAACGAACCACCATGAGTTCACCATAGTGCTGAGCTAGTCGTTGTAGGGATCGAAGAGGGTAAGTGCCTAGTTGGTGGAGGTTTCCAAGTATTGGTAGACTTGGTGGTGAAGGAGGCAGGTTTTTGTGTTTTGGTGTATCGGTAAGCCTTTTGATGAGGAACATTGTGAAGATGAGGAAGGGAAGGGCAATTACAAATAGGTGCAACATAGCTACTAGTTGCTCAATACCTAAGAACTCAATGTCGAATGTTGATTTGTCTTGTTACATTTTCGGTAATGTTAATCATAGCCTCATATATGGATGTTTCTAACTTCTTTTTAACCCTTTCTTTCTCTTATGTTTTATTTATTTATTTTATATCTATTGAGTTGACAGTAAGGAGAGAGGGTTCCCAGTATGACCTTTCCTCTCTCTCTGAATACTTGTCAATCTCCTCACTATATATTAAGTGATAATGGCAGAATATAATGCCTAGTCAATACGCAATCTTATGCGAGCATCATGCTCATGACAGAGACAGAGAAATAGAAATGAAACCATTAAGAAAAAAACAAGCAGAAAATTATTTGAAAACCATTAGAGCACTTCCACCAGTTAGCCCCTTGCCATGGCAAGGGGAGCCCTAAGGCGGGTACTATTCACGTGAATAGTGCATGCCCTAAGGCAAAAAAAAAATTGGGTTTCCAGCAATGCAAGGCTTGCCATGGAAAATACTATTCATTTTTTTGTTTTTTTTCACAACTTTGTTTACTTAAACAATTAATTTGGATAATATTTTCAGATAAGATTTTTGGGTTCCTATGTGTCAATACTATTCATATCGGATCAGATTTTCGGTTTCAAATTTCAGATACATTTCAAAATGTCAAATTTCAGATACATTTCAAAATGTCAAATTTCAGATACATTTCAAAATGTCAAATTTCAGATACATTTCAAAATGTCAAATTTCAGATACATTTCAAAATGTCAAATTTCAGATACATTTCAAAATGTCAAATTTCAGATACATTTCAAAATTCAAATTCCAGATAAATTTCAAATTTCAAATTTCATGTGAATTTCAAATTTCAAATAAGATTTTCACCCTCTAAAATTGCGCCACATGTCATCTCTATCTGCTTGCATAATCCATATAAAAAAAAAAAGGTAAGGCAAGAAACTTTAAAAAATATTGGCAATGCAACAAGTATAACAAAAAAATAATGGAAACACAAGAAATCTGCAACTTAAGTTTCGTTTGAATTACTAGTCCAACCATTACTTATGTTAGTTTTTCGTTATATTTAGGGGTATATGGGTCTTTTCAGGTTGGTTATTTGGGTACCTGAGGTGGCTTAAGAAAATATAAAATCTCTGAAAGTTCTCCTGAATAATTGAATTTCTGTTAAGTCTAAAACTCTGCTGCCATTTATCTGATATTTAGCTTAAATTCTATGTTCCTATATTCTTAAAGAATATTTCACTCGGCAGTATATAAATTAAAATATTTAAAAGCACATATCCACTTATAAAATACTAATATGTGAATAAAACTTATTCAAGATCAAATATTGTAACTGAATTGCATAAAGTCATTTCTGAAAACAAAGAGTCCACTCATAGCTGGTCTGAGCTCGCTGGGCCTTTTGAAGGCCCCTCCTACAGGTCAACTGGTGCCTGGGTGCCTGATTCAATTACCATAATAATATGTATTAATAAAACTGCTCGATATATTGGGTTAATGGTTCTATTGGTCCCCCAACTTTGACCGAATTTTCATTTGAGTACCTCAATTTCCAAAATGGTACCCACGGTCCTGCAACTTAAGTTTCGTTTGAATTACTAGTCCCACCATTACTTATGTTAGTTTTTTCGTTATATTTAGGGGTATATGGGTCTTTTCAGGTTGGTTTTGAGGGACAAAAAAGGTTTTTACCCTTTTAGGATCTCTGATACGAGTATAATGGAACTCTTGTACTTCAGACCAAAAAAAAAAAAAGAACTCTTGTACGAACAAAAAAGCTGAAGAAGAAAAAGTCAAAGCTTTCAGACGAATCTTTTCTGCTGAAGCTTTCAGACAAAAGCGAAAAAGCTGAAGAGTTTGAGTTGATTTTGTCTGGGTCATTGTGTATTAAGGTCGTCTGGTGTCGATACGTCTTGGTTATCTCATTGTGGGGTCAATAGGGGTTGTCGACAACTTTGATGGAGTTTGAATTCAGGACTTCTGGAGACCCCCCCCTCATATACGGTATGCGATGCTAATGGAAGTACTAGGAATGCTTTTTGATATGTTAATTGCTTTTTGTTGTTTTGGAATTGTCTGTTTCTGCTCGAACTGTGCATCAATTGAGGGTTTTGTTATTGTCTCTCTTGTTTTCTTTTGTCTTTATGGCAACACTGAACGCATACCTTGTGTTTTGGTCAAACATTGAGTGCATACTTGGTCCTACTATCCTTGTTGAATTTAAGGGTTTGTGGTCCTACTAGTTTGATATATGTGAATTGATTGCACAGTTGCACACACTAGTACATTTGGTGGTCCTACTTGTAGATTTGTGGTCTACTGGTAGGGTTTAATGTGATTTGTCTTTATTTAGGTGAGCAAAGATTTTAAAAATTGGTGTTGAACTGAGACTACTGCTTCATTTGCAGATAAGAGTGAGTTCTGCACTTTGGAAATTCACCATGGGAGTGTTGTACAAGATGGGGTTTATAAGGGGGAGACATTATGCTATTTGGACAACTGTGTGGATGATTATCTATCACTCTTGGATTTAAGGAAAATAGGTATAGAGTTAGGATATGAAGTGGACCTAACTAAGAAGGAGATAGGTTTGCAAATATATTGTAAGATGTATGACAGTAATGGTGAAACTATTATAAAGCTCATTGACAATGACAGTGTTAGATGTGAGATGGTTGGCTGCATAACAAGTAATAGAGTGTTAGTGTTATACTATACTGACAACAAAACAAGTGAAAAGACATGGA